GCAGGAGTTGCCCACATTGTGGTGGGGGGCTATACAACGTGTGCAAGCATGCATGGGGCTGCTTGGCATGGCACATCTACATTGTGGGTGGGTGGATGTGTGTAGTGGGGGAGGGAACCTTGTATGGCATAGTCTGGCACATGCAGCACATGGTGCAGCTTGCATGGTGTATGACTGGGAGGCCTGCAGCCCCTGACCACTCAAAAGCTGAACAGCCCTAACAATTCCTGTATTCAGAATTGTCCAGATATATGTTTTATGTAGTTTCTGCTCTTTCTTTAGGTCCATATTGTTTTTCTAGCACACAAACACTTCCTGTTACTGCCTGAATCAAAACTGGAATATCATCAGTTATTCTGACATAAAATGCTCTTGTCTTTTAGGATGAGTTTCTGGAATTTCTGCCATTTTCACAACAAATGAATTCCACAGTAGCATTCATGCTCCTGTGGTAGGAGATGGGGAGAACAGAGAAAAAATTATTTTTGTTCTGTGCTGGGTGCTTTAGTGTTTGGATACCATGGTAAGAGACGTGATAAGGAGACCTTAGATAAAGATACAGGAAGACAGCACAAGGTCTGACACAGCTGGATTACACTTTCTATTCCATTCAGCTTTAGAACTGAGAATTTTTAAATATAAAAGTACCCTCACTAATATACTGTCCTGTGGTCTTTTATACCCTTGGGAGAAAGTTCAGCCACCTTACAAATAATATGTCCTTGCACTGCAGACAGCTGACTAAATAATCAAAAAGACAGAAGGCTGTGTCAGTTTTAGCCTTACCGTGACCAGTTGTTCCTGTTTACGTTCCAGCTCTCGGATTTCTTGGTTGAGAATCACTGCCACATGTTGTGGTTGGCTTCTGCATTTACTACAGATCCCATGCTGGGTCAGCTCATCACACACAGGGCAGTGCAAGGTAGTGAAATACTGGGAGATTGTGCTTTTTCGGACTTCCAGCTCATTACGGACAGTAGAAGCTGCTTTCTGGATCTATAAAAAAAAAATGATGAGGAACTCAAGGGGGCAGCTTTATTTATGTACACACCATTTGTCATATATATTTTTAACCAATATAAATAGAATCAAGCCTGCAGGAGGTGGGCTCATATACATTCATTAACAAGAATTCCAAGCAAGTCTCTCACTAAGTGTATGACTTTCCCTTAAGTGATTCAGTATGTGTTAAACTGTATACACAGAGACCACCCACATGCTGTTAGCAGTTTCACAGCCATGCTCAGCATGAGGAAGAGACCAAATAGCAGAAGAAAGAAGCAATAACAGTCATATACTAGGTATATTCCTGGATAAGAGCAGCTCATTTTGTAAACTGGGCTCCCTGCAACTTTTTCCTTAGCTGCTGGTCTGCCTTGTGTCTGTGTACACCTATGGCTGCAGATCCAATTGTCTTTGCCATTTCACATATTAGAGAGGCAGATTTTAATATCCAAACTCAACACATTAAAAAAAAACCCAACCAAATCTGGGAGCAAAGTTACCTTCTCCCAATTCCTGCCTCTTGCTCACCAAAAACTATTTCCAATTATTTACACAATTTCTATCCATACACGTTTCTTTTGTATTCACTGCTGGTTGTAGCCTCCCAGGGGGGGCACTGAAATAAAACAAACTTGGGCCTCAACCAAGATGTCAGGTTGATTCAAACTTCAGGACTGCCACCTAACCCTGGCAGGACTTGCTTTCTACTACTCTAGCCCCTCTACCTGGCTGCTACTACAAATCACATTCCTTGAGCTATTACTTACTATGAAATTGGGAGGCTCTCAAGAACTGGCTATCTAGTACTGACAGTGGTGGGTTGGGAAGAGAGAGTGTATGAATGAACCTTCTAGTTCCCTCTGTTGTGGGACAGCAATATACTGAAAAAAATGGAACAGACTTTTGATGTCGGTAGTCATGGCGACACCTGGTGTACACAAGGGCTGGAGGCACCAAGCCTCAGAGAAGAGTGAAGAGCAGCCCATTGTTGCAGCCTTTTCAGGACCTCCCACTATTGTGGAACCAGGAGTTCTACTGCAGCTATTTGCTGTAAGCATCAGCTTGCAGATTTCACAATGAATTGGTCAGCATGTGGGAAAAACAGAATTGAAAGTAATCGGGGATACGGTAAAGGCCTTGAGTGGAAAGAAAGTGAGAGGTAACTGGCAAGTACAGTTGGTACAGATGTTATTAGCAAAAACAGCCATCACTGCTTTATTAAATTATTAAAATGATTAAATCATTTTAATTATTATATTAAATGATGATTAAACAGTCAGTAGAACATTAATGAGATCTGATGCTCTTTTCATAAGTAAAGATAAACTAACTTCTTGTTATAAGCCTGATGTTTTATCCTGCCTTTCAGCAAAACCAAAAGCAATCCACCTGACCGTTAAACTATTACATCAAATTTATTCTTCTAAAATTTGGGATGCAAGTCACTTGGTGGTTGTTAACACTAAAATTTCTCCTGGCATTCATTTTTTCAAAAACTGTCCTGCAGCATTTGTATGTCATCTCTTCTACGGACATTGATGTAAAAGTTTGGTGTAGAATTATCAAACTTTGCTTTTCCCAAGTGTCCCTAATGAGTTCCAGGGCCTTTTAAAGGCTTTGAGCTGATGTAAAATGTGGCTGCTATAAACAAAAATGTATAATCATATTTGTGTGTGTGTGTGTGTGTGTGTGTGTGTTAGTTGAAAACAAACACTTAAGTATACCAGGAAAACATAACTGGCGATCAGCACTGATTTGGTACAGAACCTGTTGTTACAAAATGAAAAATCTTGTAGAGAGGGCTGGGTAACTTAGTTTATACCTTCAGGCAATAAATATTGCCTTGTAAAGTGAATAGCACCTGTTACTTCACATAAACACTACTCTGTTTTCAAGATAGAATAATCAAAGCAAGTACCATGCAGATACGCTACAAGTGTCATTTGACATGCTTACCCTTGGCAGTTCATGATACCAGCTGAACACATCTATGCCAATTAGCGAGAAGATCCTAGCTAAAGGTGGAAGAATTTGTTTGGTGATATAGTAAGTAGCATTCAGCCTCAGGTTGGGATCGTGTAGGACTTCAATGGGCCGTCTCACCAGTTGTATAATTTGCAATCCAGGCATGCCATACACAATGACGTAAGGTTCTCTTTCCCCAACTCGTGGCTCAGAGCGCCGGTCATAAGCAAGCATCCTCCTGTTTAAAAATACTGTCTTTAAAACAAACTCTAAAATGAATTATTAGCAAGTAAAATGACTATGAACTAACTGCTCCCACCTGAAGGTCCCATTAATGATTTTGAAGCCTGAAATCCATATCTAACGTGTACGTGCACACACACAGCCTTCATCTTGAAGGCAGAAGTGTGCCCTATGCAGAATGCAGATTATGCTCCATCTTTCCTATATGGCCACATGTGCTCACCTTTTCACTACTTTTTGTTTAAAAGGAACACTTTAAAAAAGAGCAGCCCCACTATACTAGAATGAAGACACGTCCAGAGTGCAAAGGACTTTACATTCTTCAACTAAAAACAAGATTTGATCATTGTCAGTCATTTAATTTTATGAGAAAAGATATGGCAGTTATTTTAAGGCAGTGATTTTCAACTGTTGTTGTATACAATATTAACACTCTTAGGTGTACACTCACATAAACACACTTCACAAGATAAACCTAGAGATTCCTAAACAGGAATCCATAGCGTCAAAAACATTCCGACTTGCTACGACCCGAGTTCTTTGCAACAGAAGAACTGCTCTATTATTTTTCCATAGTTAAAAAATGAGCGAAGGCTAAGGGCTGGCATTAACTGAGGGGTGCCTTGAGTCTAAAATTCAGCTTTAAGAAATTCTGCGTTGTGCAAGGACACAAATTAGGTGACTAGCAAAATCTGTTGAATCAATTTGCATATGCACTGTAACTGACAAAAAACCCCCAGCATGAAACATGCACTACTGGTAAACAGATTCGTTCTTTAATATCACACACTGTGGCTGAAGTACTATTTAACAGCATTAAAATGTGAGAATCTGCTAGTAATATTTATCTATAAAATGATTCTTAGTGCCAGTGAGAGGCAGGATAGTCTTAGAGATTGAAGTCCTTTATACAAAGTGCAGGAAAAGTATAAGTAGTAACAGCAGAGGGTTCATTACACTGTCATGACACCAGGCCTTGTTTTTGACCTCCAGGAAGGTCTCTCTTTCCAGGAATAAAGCAGCATTTGGAATTCCATAACCAGTCTGCCCTCTGGGGAGGTGAGAGACCCTCGACCAGTGTTAATGGAATAGTTGCCTGGTAAGTAAATTCATACATCAGATCTTTAGATACATCACGTTACCTTGTGATTTCTAGGGCTGGCACACAGGCTCCTGGTTTGTAAGCAAAACTCCCTCTGTATTCTTTTGCAAAGATAAAGTCTTGTATACTGGCTTTCCCTTCTAGTAACTTCAGGCATTGATTCTGAACATATTGTTTGATTTGACTTATGTCACGAGTTTCAAATAGCAGCTTGATAGAACGCTCAAGTATCTTAAAAAAAAAGAGAGAAGTTATAAAAATCTCATTCAAAATTATAAAAGGAGTTTAAATTCTAGTAGGAAATAGTCTGCATTTAAATATATATAAATTAATGTTTTTGAAGTTATTTTGTAAACATAAGCATGTATGTGTTGCTCTCAGTAGAGACTTTGGAATCATTCTTTTCTTACTGTTTCTATTTTGCAAAATAAAGAAAAACTTTAAACACTGTATATGTAAGATGTACGAAAATGACCAACTACTGCTTAACAAAAGGTTTCTTTTAAAATCTAAAATAGACTATTACCCAATATCCTTCAGTAACCTCGTCTCCACAAAGATGCTCACATGAAGATATTACAAAAAAAGCTAATCAGCTTGAAAGAACTACAGCAGCACTGTAGGTGGAAGAGTCATTGGGTGTTTTGTAATGGTAACACTGGCTACTAGCCACTCAGGGCATCTTTACACATGCACTGGGGTGGAGAGGGGGTACTTTAATTAGAGAAGCTCTGAGAGTATTATCATTCTTTGATAAAGAATTTGTCCTACTGGATATGGGGGAAATGAGCAATGAGACAGATCATGAGTTTAGTGCAAGGCTTCTAATAGTCTTATAAACAAGTTAGAGTTATGATCTACGTACAGCCGTCATCAGGTGGATGTACAACATATCTCAAAGAGAAGCATCAATGAATGGTTCCTTGTCAGGCTGAGAGGGTACCTCTGCTGGTGTTTTGTATGGGTCCATCTCAGCCTCAAGCTATATTCTATATTTTCATTACCATTTTAGAGGATGGACTGTAGAGGACACTTACAGAATTTGTGCATGGCACCAAGAGTTTTGGAGTGCTGGATCAGAATTCAAAATGATTGTGACAAATTGGAGAGCAGGTCTTAAAAACCAACAACATTAGGTATATAATGTGTAAAGCCACTATACTTTGGAAGGAGAAATTGACTGTACAAATACAAAACGGGGACTATCTGGCGGGGCAGTTGTATGGCAGGAAAGGATCTGAAGATTATAAACTGAGTTAACAATTTGATGCTCTTGTAAGAGGCAAATCTCATTCTGGGATGCATTTACAGGAGTGCTGAATATAAGACAAACAGGTAAGTATTCTGCTCAACTTAGTACTGGTGAGGTCTCAGCTAGAGTACTATGCTTAGTTTTGGCACCACACTTTAAAGAAAGGTATAGACAAACTGGAAAGAGGTCAGGGAAGAGCAATTTGAATGGCAGGAGGCTTTTAAAACATGACCTATGAAGAAAAGTTGAAGGGACTGGGTTTAATTTCTTCCAATATGTAAAAGGCTGTGAAAAGCTGATCAATTCTCCACAGCCATTCAGGGAAGGACAAGAAGGGTATGGCCATACGATCAATTTGCCATGCTATAAGTTGGTAGTTACTGTGTCCCTGCTCCGTTTCAGTGGCTCCACAGTACCCGTCCACATGCATGCATTTCTCTCACTTTCCGCAGGGCAAGGGCAAGCATGTGGGCTGTAATTGCAGAGCAGGTGACATGTGGAAAAGCTGTGTCCCTAATATCCTATTTAAAAAAAAACAGCTTAATATCCAATTAAAAAAACTTTACTGCTGCAAATTAAGGAAAACGTTCTACTTGTAAGAGTGGGGAAACACTGGAGCAAGCTACTTAGGGAGCTTGTGGAACACCCCTCCTTGGAAACTCTGAGGAACAAGCAAGATATATGTTTGTTAGGAATGGGCTAGGTAAAACTGGATCCTGCCTCTGTGCAGGGGTGGAAAGGATGATCTCTTGAGGTCCTGGCCAGCCCTGTATTTCTATAGGTATGGATAAATGTACACTAGGGGTGGCTTCAAAAGGGGACAGGTAGTGAAAGGCAGCTGTTATGCTGCAGCAATAACAAGTGATACAAGTGAGTGAAACTGCCCCAACTTTGAACCCTGCTTCATCAGGAGTCAAAGTCAGAGCAGTTTTGCTATACTTCTATCACTACAGGTTCATGCAGCCTGTTCCCAAGTAGCAGCTCCACCACTTGAGGGGGCTCCAGGTGTTCTTTTGCACATGCCTATGCTTCTATGCTAGGTAAATACATTATACGAACAACTGCTTCAGTTTATCATCTGAGGTGAACAATTTTTCCAGATGGCTTTGTACTTTCTCCCAATACATTTTCTGCAAAGAAGAGAATTAACTAATTACTTAGGCCCGGGGTACTCAATCCCTGGCCCATGGGACAGATCAGGCTGCTGGCACATGAGGCTCCCCAAGGGTCTGAAAATTTGGTGGCAGGGGAATGGTGGCACTATTTCCCTGCTGCCAAATTGCTGGATCTGCAGGCAGCCCTGGGCTTTATGTGCTCCTTCAGGCACCTAATCCCAGTGTGCACAGCCAGTGTCAGGCCTCAGGGCCTAATCCTGGCACACTAGGGTAGCGTCGCACCTCAGGACCAATCCCAGTCATGTGTGCATGAGCAGGAGTGGTGCAGGGCCCCAGGGCCTGATCCACATGCAATCCACGGGGCCTTGGCTGGCCCCTGTGAATGGGGCTTGATCTGGCCCTGTGCTGCTCATCTGGTCCATGGGACCCAAAGCTTGAGCACCACTAACTTAAGCAGTTATAAAGTAGTATGCTATGGCAGTGGAACAGAAAATAACTTCCAAACTAACAAATGCAAAAAGATAGTTTGGATTTAATCAAAAGCAGCTTAACAGAAAGACTAACAGAGAAGCTCATGGGGTACTGGGCCATGTTAGAGAGATTCTAGTGGCGGTTGCTACGTATCATTGTTCGTATCCACCTTGTATCATTTTTACCTCGTGTGTTTATATTCTCTCCTCTGCCTGAAATTTTTCAACTATTGAAGAGATTTTTTTGGAATGAGACAGAAGAACATTCTTTTGCCAACTTGTTTCATCTGTAGTTGATTCAGACAAATCAGAGGTAAAAAAAAAAGAACATGTAGCCGGGACAACTGACTGAGGCAAACACTTCACCTTTTTAGGAAGAATTTGTTCTTGATTTGACTGGGCACAAAAGATTTTTTTTACGCCAAGTTCAAAATGCACAATTAAGGAAGTATAGATTCTACATGAATTATTGGGCACAGGGAAAACTGTAGTTGGCAGGGATACTTTTAGGTAGTGGAATTCCCTAAGTAGTACCAAGTACTTGAAGTAAATGGATGGAGACCCAGGGTGGGCATTTTGTAGAGTTTGTATAGCGTTGAAGGAAGGGTCCTGTGTTCTCCAAAGAGTAAATGCACTGAATAAATTAGGGGGTGGAAAGACTGCCAGATGGTAGACTGGGAATTGGCAGGACCCTGTCATACCATGCAATACTCTCAGTGAAAAAAGCCCGATCTCAAATTACTAATGCTGGGGGAAAGGGTAGGAAAAATCTCAAACAGAGGTGCTCTCTCTAGACTTAAATATTATTAGGAGGCAGCACTGTATAAAAATTTTAAAGAACTAGTTAAGCATATTTCATTAACTTAAAAGATTATGCATGTTGTCTTACCTTGGAAACAGCAGGACAGGAATCTCTTCGGACTGTTTCTATACCTTTTGCATCAAATACTGGGTCCTTTTGGTCCAGTGTTTCATACATGTAACCCACATACCTCTTCTTGGTTTGCAAGACACATGGCAAATAGACCTGTTGGATTAAGAAAAAAAGCTAGCACCTCTTTGATGCAAATTTACTAGCAATGTAAGATTGAATTTTTCGAGAATTTGCAGTTATTTATTTTTATTCCTTTTTCACCCTTTGTCTTGTCATAAAAACAAACAAAAATAAATTAAAGTAAAGGTCTGCAAAGAAAGCAGATTAGGAGAGTGTCATTGCTTAACTGTAGTCACCCTGTTAGACCTAGGAAGATACTGCAACACGTGATATGTTGGCTGAGAACCCTGCAACATTCAGGGAGACAGTAACACATTGTAATAGAGGTATCCTTCATTATAAATTCCCTTACTTTTTGGACTGTAACCAGACCCTCTTTTGATATAATTGTACACTTAGTTTAACAAAGTTAGCTTTAAACATCAAATGGAAGAAAAATCTTTCAGCAATAGAGAAGACCTTGAGTTGGTATAACTTTTAAAATGTCAATGCATGAGACTAAGGCACTTCCACAATAACTAAACTTTCATTAGCTGTTCCTCTGGGATGCAGTATATTATCTGGAGTCACACTTTTTCCAGGAACCCATTCTCTGTGGGTGGCTTTGGGTTGTTATTCTGTATGCTTATTTTTTGGATTCAATAGAGGTAAGTTTTCAAAAGGGCTTTAAACACTTGTTAAATAACAATCACTGCATTGACAGCCATTCCTCCCTTTAAAAAAAGAAAAAAAAAGAATCCAACTTGGTTAAGATGTCTAAACTTGCTGCAAAGAGAATTTCAGAGACTGAGGGTGCGGTAAGAACTGAACCTTTTGCAAATGTCCCCAATCACTGGTTTACAACTTGTTGCAGGTCAGAGGTGTCCACGTGTATGGTGCCCTAGTGTTCCAGGTAGAGCAGTAGAGCACTTTCTAGACACTGAAGTGCTGTAGCTCCAACACCAGGGAATGGGAGTGAGCACCCATCCTAGTAAGTAGAGGGGAGCAGGAGTGCTTGTACCTGTGCTTTGGAGGTCCCAGGGGACAGGTGACCTATGGCAGGGGTATTTTTCACTTTTCTTCTCTCCCCTTTCTCCTCAACATGAGTTCAATAAAATTCAAGAGCCTGCAGTTAATTGAGGTCTGCAGTGTGCATTCCTGGCTTGGGTTGGCTGGAAGGGGGTGGGAGGTGGGTCTCCAGGGGCTGGAGATGGGGCATGATGAGGGATTACAGTCAAGTCGGGAGCAAGTTGTTAGAGGTAAGCCTTTATTGAATAAGCAGTGTAAAGGAAGAGATAAAAAGTGCCAAAAAGGGGGAAAAGGGGAGGGGAAGGGGCAGTGACTATGTACCCAAGTATTCAGTTGCAGAACTGGGGATGAAGAACAATGTAGTGTGGGATGCCTGGAGGACCAGATCTGTGTCACTTAATGCTTGATGTCCACATGCAACACTGAACCAGTGCACTTTAAACCAGTTCAAAAGAGTACCAGATTTTCCGGTTACACTTGTGAACCATTTCAGGTGACTTCAAACCAGTTTTAAGATCTTGCATATCTATCCATTTCATTTTTAAACCCCACTTAAGATAGTCTCTTAAGTGTTAATGTGTGTCTATGCCCTGACTTGCATCTAGGAAGAAAGGCCATCTGTTGTCCTAATGTAAAAGTGGGAAATGCTCTCGTTTCCCTTGCAAACTTCCTCTGACAAGTCTAAGGCAACCAAGGGTCATAAGTTTTAAGAAACATATGGTTCAGATAAATCATCAACAGACTAATGCATTTGAAGGAGCAACATGTTCTAGCCATATATTTAGAATAAAATGTTTTTCCTTTACCTTTTCAAACTTCAATTTTACTGGGTTGGGGTTTGTAGCTGTTACAGCTTCAGCAATTTCTTGACCAATCTTAAAAGACTGTTCCTTAGTGGCTCCTTTCAACAGTACAAACATGCTAGAATATAAAAAGTAGAAACAGGAAATAAGGATACTGATACTTCAAAATCTCTCTTGGACTGGGAAATCTATAGTAAATCTGTCAATATCTGTTTGCATGGAAAACGGGATTACCAAATTTCTAGATTGCTGGTTGTTCTAGTCACTGAAACATCGCACCCCAGCCACCTTTTTTCAGCTGCCTCTACCAACTCAATCTGCATTCTGGCTCTGTCTCTGAAGTTACTTCTGTATTTCTGGTTTGGTTACAAGTAGCCCAAACCCTGGTACTTGTGGTGATGCTATCAACAGC